AATTCAGGATTAGGGTTGCCAGGAAATTCCTGGCACCATAACCACTACAGTACTACTTAGTGGTTATGGTGGAAGGATTGTTCCATCCACACAAATATTGATCCAGAAGCTGTCTTCAACATGATGCTAATAAGATGATATAGGATGCTGTGATTCTTTATGGTACCTTTGAGATTTACTGTTTATAAGATAAAACAGCACTTGAAGTTTTTGTCATTGTATTTAGAGTGCATTATTATATAAATGTGTATTATATGGTGTGAATAGGATATATATTCTCTGTATAAGGCTTTCCTATTCTAAATCAAGGTTTAGAATAGACACATGTGAGGAGTACTCAATTGTATGCCCCCAAATAGCCTATATTTGTTTCTTTTTCAGGCAACATAAATGTGTCACTATAAAGATATTTCTTTCTAATATTGCACATTGTCTAATTCACAATATAGGCCTGTGATATGTAGCTGAGCAGTGTGGTTGTTTTTACTCCCAGGTGTTTTTTTTCCACATAAGAAGGTATACTAGATGTTGTGCGGTTGTGTCATTAAAGTGTCATTGTGTTAAATGTGTGATGGGTTTTATTAAAGCTAATTTTCATAGTGCAATTTCATTTGTGTGCAAACACACATAGGCACACAACCTGATTTTACATTTATATGAGTTTTTATCTGTTGTGAACATACTTTTGTATTTATGAAATATAATAAATAATTAAAATTTTTGCACTTTATTGAAGATGCTGTCATAAACAAACACATGCCCCATACGCTAAATTTAGTGTCTGTCATACAGTCTTTGGAGGGAAGAGGCTTACAATATCTGGGACAATGTTAATGCATCATTAGATTGATGGTGCTGGAAGATAATGTTGAACGGTCACTTTCATTTTGCAAACCTAGGTAAAGCCCACGATGGCTGCGGATTAACTTGTCAGGGTTGGTATTGGTTTTCTTCAACAAAGGCTGAGCTGTAAACAGCAGTGAAACATGTAACTGGATAATGGAAATATAAGCATTGGAAGCATCTTTGTATTTGTTCACCTGGATTGATTTCAGCATGTTAAGTCAAATGTAAAATAGATCAGCGAGATTCTATTCAAGGAGATACGTATACAGCCTATATGTTTAACCGTTTACAGTATTATTTATTTTATTTGGAATATACATGTTTATGACACTCGATTGTTCCATCACAGACACGACTGTAAAGGACCACATTTTGAGTATAGCACCATTGTATAGGTATCTGCAGTACACAGATACTATATAGACAATGGGGAACATCAACCAAGCAACTAAGTGGTTTAGCTGATTCTTACTTTATTTTAATGTGAATGTTGTGAGATGTATTGAACATTACATTTGTGGATTCTGAAGCTTTGATATAGTATGCTATGCTTTTAAATTCACAAGTTTGATGATGGGGCCCTCCACCCCCTCTGTTCCTGTGCGTTCAGATGTCTGGTTACAATTACATGTCTGTTAGTCCACCCATTGTACAGCGCTACGGAATCCGATGGCGCTATATAAATAATAAAATAATAATAATGTCAAAAAATAATATTTTTTTACAATACCACAATATCCAGTAGTCACCCTTTATGCTGTTACCATGGTCTATGTTTTGTGAGTGTAATTTATTAAAGAGTTTGCCACTCTTAAACTGTCACACTATTGGTTAATATAAACTGGTCATTTTTGTAGATATGTAAATTCCTTTTTCTGTATATTATATATGATATACATGTCTGGTTTTGGCAAAAAGACAATGAAAAGTAAAATTCTCTAATTTTACATAGTTTACAATTTTATTCCATTTTAAGTGCTTTTTATTTCATTTCCATATAACCCACTGAATCACAATCATATTTAGAACAGAATCTATATGAGGTTATTGGTGTTACCACCAATATGGCCCACACAGTTCATTGCTTTTGCATCTCTTAAACTTTTAACTCTTCCATACAGTTGACCTCCAAACCTTTTTCATCTTATATAAAAATATATCTGTTAAGACCTGCAGTGGTTATGGTACTGTGGTCTTCTATTCCTTTCCCAATAGCTGAGCATAAGTGATTATAACTGCAGTTAGGAGGTAGAGGAATAGTGTAGATGAATGCAGCTTCCAAGACGATTCTCCCCAGCAAGTAGAAAATCCCCCAAGCATGAGCCTAGACTTCATGAAGGGTGTAACAGGAATGATTTTTATTGAGGCCACACTGGTTTTTATGAGAATCCTCCTGCAAGAGGACCTCCCACAGTAAACAAAGACAATAACCAATCAACATACAGATTTACAGTAACCCCCGCTCTCTCTCTCTCTGCCTGGGAGATATTGAGATAAGTTAAGGAATAACTCAATTATCTCCAGGCAGAGGGCACACAATTTTCCCCAAAATTAGAACACCCCTTTCCACACAAGGTATCCGCACAAATTATTTGACACATATCCCCTGATAGCCCCGATCTGGGGGACCAACATATCCAAATTTCACCCAGATCGGTTCAGGGGTTCTCAAAAAGTATGGAAGTCATAAGTTACCGACCACACACGCGGCTCCTGCCCAAAACAGTTCCACAAATTCAGCATGTGCGATCGGTCAATTCAGTAAATGGCATAAAAGCAAATAAGGTCCCGAATGGATCCTCCTGGCTCATAGGAGCGATTACTCCCCTTGTTTGTATGAACCAAACTACCGAATGGCGCTCTCCTGGCTGTTCGGCAACTAAAGGAAGCAAGTGTTTGGTAGTTTCAGCGGTGGTTTGGGAGGTCGAGTGTCCGATTTTAGTTCCAGACACTCGACGACCAAGTACCGCTGCCTCCTTTCGCGCAAACAAGATGGCCGCCATTTTCTGTTCCATATGGCATTCGGATTTACGAACAGCGGCCGCCCAGAGAGCGCTTAATAGATGGTTCTTTTGAAGTTAATGAGCCAGGAGGGTTGTCGGTGTTCGCCAGTTTGAAACTGCCGAACCAATAAATCCAAAATGAACGAAATGTTGCAGAAAAGCACGAACACAGAAGAAAATACCGAACTCAGTCTATTTTCTTCACAATATCTTTCTGCCTTGCAGTCATTCTTACGACACAAGAGACAACTAAAAGCATTATTCATATACTAGCCTGCCTAAAGGAACATTAAAGAAAGAAAGTTGGAACAATGGTGCAAATGAGGGTGGTTATTGATAACAAAAGATGGTTTGCTTGCTAACTGAATTAGGATGGTGCATTTGGAGATGGGAAGAAATTAAAATAATACTGAGAGCAAGCAACAGGCTTTTCAGTAGAAACCAAAGTTACTTGTGTTACTTGCACACTAACCCAAATTCCTATGGACATTTAAATATCTGGAGGGTTTTTAGTATCAGTCCAATGGCCATTTAAGTGTAAGCTCACCTGCCACATCAAGGCAAAACATCTTAGTTGAGGCCTACACTAACAATTCCCCTTGCTGCTTTCAGCAAAAAGCTAAAATTTATAATGATGTAAGATTTAAAGAAAATTATCTAATGAGGTAGAGAGGTATCTTTCAAAACACATGCGGTGGGCAGCAGCACCGTAACATAGCTGTCTCTGTTTCATTAGAGATTTAACCTTTTAGCTGAACACAGCAAGATGAGTTCCTTTTGTAGGACTCACCTAAGAGGTTTTGCCTTGATGTGGCAGATGAGCTTACACTTAAATGGCAATTGGAGTGATACTAAGAAAACTCCAGTTATTTAAATGTGCATAGGGATTTGGGATAGCGTGCAAGTAAAATTATTATTTTTTCACTCTCAAAAAAATATATTGTGCATGTCATTTTCAGCCAAGCTCCTCTTGGTTTTCCATATCACTGCAGAAGTGTGGCTTTCCAGATTGATCTCAGTGTGTTAATGGAGGCTATCCCACCCACCCAGCTTTCATAGAGCACTGGGAGGAATTGATATGCTGTGATATTACTTCCTCCTAGAGCCACCGAGTGGAGTAGTGTAGGAGGGAGAGCAAGAAGATTGGGCCTATTTTAGACATGGACTGCAGAGTTGGAGCTCCATCAGCCTACCTGCTTCTATACTGGCATTGGAGATAGTCGGTCTCTGATGCCAGCAGGGTGCTCCATCAAACCAGTACCCAATGGCAGCCTCCCCACTCCTGCCTCCCTTTGCTACACCTCTGCTGTGTAATTGCCAGCTTCTTGAGTTTAGCTCAAGTGAGCTAAACAACCAGGAAGTAACAAGATCAGTTGTCTGATTGACAGCCAGGGAGCATAACAAGATTAATTTATAAAAGAGGATACATTCTTCACATGCAAAGCAAGCTGGAGTGCGTAAGGGGTCTGGAGTGTTTTACATGTTTTACATTGCAGGGTTACAAGGACAGGGCCACTGTACCCAGACCACTTCATTAAAAAGTGTTCTAGGTGACTTAAGTTGTCCTTTAATTGTCAAATGCAAACATTTTTAGCCCTTCTGATATGTCAGTGACTTTTGTATGTTCTCTGGAGGCATTTCCACGTCACATTTACCTGCCAGGCTTCACCAAGTGTCCAGTCATAAGGATCAACAACATCTGCCATCTGAAGTCTTTCATAACACATACCTTTCCTAATTCTACCCCCATTTAAAAAGAAAATACGTAGAACCATCTTTGGGAAAGCTTATGAAATAGCTCTTTAATGTCCACTCTATCTAAGCTTTTTCATACCTTCTTATTCTACAATTTCCATTCAACCCATAGGGGTTTTCATATATTCATGTACAATCTGGTTTCCCTTTTGTGTAAGCTTGTTTGAGCAAGGCCAGTGCCGCCACTTTTTTCTTTTATGTTTATTTAACATTTCTGTTTATTTAACGTACAGCACTGTGGAATATGTTGTTAAATGATACAAAATTTATTTAAAAAATAGTTATGATTATTGCATGCATCTTGGAAAGGCTATATAAACTCATGGTTTTTATATAACTATTTAATATAATGTGTTTTTTGTCTATTTCTTTTTTTTTTTTTTCTGCAGCAACAAAATGAACCATACACCAAATATGCAATTCTACCTTGTTGGACTCTCCCATTACCCATACCTCCAGCCAGTCTTGTTCATCATATTCTTACTTATATATATAATGGCATTTGCAGGAAATATCCTGATTGCTATCGTCATTAGCTCTGATTCTCGTCTTCACACCCCAATGTATTTTTTTCTAATTAACCTTTCCATATTGGACATTTGCTGTACAACGGCTGCTATCCCTAAGATGCTGCAGATTCTTGTCATAGAGCAGAAAACTATTTCATATTCTGGTTGTATCTCGCAGTTATATCTCTTTACGGCAGCTTTGAGTACAGAGTTGATATTGTTGACAGTGATGGCTTATGACCGCTATGTGGCCATATGCTTTCCTTTGCGCTACAAGACAATAATGAACAGAGCAGCTTGTACGTGTTTAGCTGGAGCTGCCTGGATTTTAGGTTCAGCAAACTCAATGACCCACACTTGCCTCATCTTAAAACTATCCTTTAAGGAAGAAAAGATCATTGACCATTTCTTCTGTGAGATCCCACCTGTACTTAAACTGGCCAACTCTGACCGGTACATCAATGATGTGGTCATTGTGGCTTCAGACGTATTGCTTGGAATGATTTGCTTTATTCTCACAGTTATATCCTATACATATATAATCTCAACCATTATGAAAATACGTTCGGCAGAGAAGAAAAAGAAGGCATTCTCCACGTGTGCCTCACACCTCACAGTGGTGACTCTCTTCTACGGAGGTGTCATCTACACATATGTGCGACCGGCCTTTAGCAACGAACTAGAAGCTGACAAGGTTGTGTCTGCTTTGTATGCTATTGCATCACCAGTATTGAATCCAATCATTTACAGCTTAAGAAACAAAGAGGTAATCAATGCCATTAACAAGACATTTAATAGAAAACTACACATGGTCAAATGAACTACTATTAAGAAAAACTATTTTACCAACATCAATGAAGATAACCAATTTTTGGAATATACAATTCTTTGTATTGGCCTCAACTTTAAACGGACTCATTGTATTACCTCAGTTTAGTAAAAGCACCTAAAAAGATCAAAACAGACATAGGCTTCTATGGTGAAATATAGTTTATTGAATTACAATGGATATAAAAAAGAACATATAAGTGCCCCCCATTCAGTATACTGAAACAGTAACAGTATTTAAAAAATCATCCATTATTACTGTTTCAATATACTGCCCTGTTGAGTTTTTATCCTGTGATATCAGGGTTGGTGTGGGGGTTGGAGGTCCAATTATATGCTATATTTTGTTTTCATTTTTATTCAATAAACTATATGTCACCATAGAAGCCTATGTCTGTTTTGCACATTTTAGGTGCTACTAAATTGTTGTACATGGGAATGTGTAATACATTACCTCTAACAAACAGCAACAGGACATGTGACTACCTTAAGGACTGTTGGATATTGATTGCATATTGATTAATGAATGTGACAATTTTATAGGCGTTTTGCAAGGATTGTTTTTATAAATGTATTTTATCTAGGAGACATACATAAGTTATAGATTTACTTCCTTTTTTTTTTTAAGTACGGTTCAGACTTGACTGAAACTGTCTTTCTAAACTCTCTAATGATTGCCTGATCAGATTTTATTACTCATTTTATTAGCCATTTAATTTTAAAGCTGCAGTTTCTTTAATAAAGGATGTCTCTTTTTCATAATTAAAAAATTCTATCTGCATTATTTCAAGATTTGAACATTCTATATACATTTTTTTTCTATTTCGTTCTATAATATAGACTTTGGTATTTCTATCTTTCATTTTGAGATCTCACTAAGACAGATTTGTTAAATATAGAGAATAAATAAACATAATATTAGAATTTCTGGGAGACAACAGTTCCTCTTTAACAAATGGGAAATTTCTGCCACAAATGTATCATTCTATATAATATTTTAAAAAGTGGAGTTAACATGTTTCCATAATGGTGCAACAGCTATTTTGTCAACATGGTTTTATCTAACATGATATGGTTATTAGTTTCATCTTCTAATTTGTTATCTAATGTGGGTACATATTGAGCAGAACAATTTAGGTATTTAGGTAATGACGCTTTACATGCTTCTAAGCTATTGAAACTGATGATTGGCACAATGAGAGAAAATTGAAGATTCTTGTAACGGAATTAGTCCATTCTTGTGCTGCAAAGTACCTTCAAGATGTCATAACAGTATGTCACTATCAGATGTTTTTACAGAAATTAATGGTTCTTAGGTTTTACAGAAATTAATGGTGCATGGGCAAAGAATTTGGTTCGGCACATCCAAAATTCGACAATTCGGCACTTCGGTTCGGCAATCCGAAATTCGGGACTTCGGCAATTTCCTAAGCCTAACCCTACCCCTAACCCTAAGCCTACCCCTAACCTAACCCTTAACCCCCAATCACTAACCTAACCCCAACCCTAACCCTACTCCTAACCCCAACCCTAAACCTACCCCTAACCCCAACTTTAATCCTACCCCTAATCTAACCCCAACCCTAACACAACCCCTAACCTAACCCCAACCATAACCCTATTTCTAACCCTACCCCTAACTCTACCCCTAACTCCAACCCCAGGTTGGGGTTAGGGGTAGGGTTAGGGTTAGATTCATGCCATCATTCCCTTAATTTTCCCTCACTTTTCTGTTTTGCCACTTTTCAGAAATCCAAAGCATTTCAGGACTTCCGAAATTTGGCACTTCAGCAATTCGGCACTTCCAAAATTCAGAAGCATGCGAGTGTCCGAATTGCCGCTATTCTTCCGAATTTAAATTCAGACCAAAACAAATTGCACATGTCTAATAGTTCTAAATATCTGTGATATGGGCACCTCTTTCTGTAAAACTTGAGTAGCTGTAAACCAAAAACTATACTCAAACAAAATCCTTCCCAGAGATGTGTAGATGGATTGTATAAGATAAACATGTTAGAGTAAAATGTTTGCTACCTTCATGTAGATCGCCTTGTGTTAAAGGCCAATTAAAGGAACACTATAGATTAGGAATACAAATATATATTGATCCCCTTTCCCACTCCATCCCCAACCAAACTTAATTTTTAGCCCAAATAAAAAAAAAAAAATGCTGCACTAGGAGGAAGAGCATCTAGTGGCCACAAGAGGTGTGTGAATCGTGTAACATAGAAACAGCATTTTCTACAAAATAGCCCATGCATGCTCCTGCTCACTTGTCTGCCATTCGGGAGTTAGATCTCTTTGTTTATGCAGTCTTAGCTGCACCTCTTCATGCTGCAAGACACATAGGTAACCCACACACTTCATGAAAAAGAGCCCAGATTTGTTTGCTTTTTAGCTTCCCTTATGGTACACTATATGTAAATTAGAACTAACTGTATTATTTCCTGCTCTGTCAATTGCCTTCTGGAGTCCGCAACAGCAGCTGTTCTGTGTGTGAGTGATTTATAATCAAAAGAGCAGAAGCCCAGAACCTCTAAAGTAAACATACTGTGCTGTACAATTGTACTTTTTTTAATGATGGCAGTGCGAATCACAACAATGGGAGATGTGGCTAAGGTTGCATAATCAACATGTTCAGCACAGAACTGAACAGTGACACTGCAGGGGCATGATCCATACACCAAAACCACTTCCTTAAACTTGAGATGTTTTGGTGCTTAGAGTATCGCTTTAAGTGTCTGTGCTCATCTCTCCATTAGAAACTCTATAAGTAACTATATATATATATATATATATATATATATATATATATATATTTATTCAACATTAGGATTTTACATATTTTATCGAGTTGAGCAGTGCAGTATTCAGGTCTAAGGAGGATCCCATGAGACCGCAAGATCCTCCGTAGACAAAGCCAACTCCGTGTGTAGGCATTGACACTGCAGCTCCGCCCAGAGTCTAAGAAAGTCAGGCAGAGGACATGCTTCTTCTAATGCTTCTTCATTATGCTGGGAACTCTTGTTTAATGTTAAAATATTAAAAACAGTGTAAAGATGAATGGAAGGACAGTGCCAGCGGACACCAGACACTATAACCATTTCAATGAGATGAAGCAGTTATGGTGCCTACAGTATCCTTTTAATGTACATAAACCTAGAGATATTAAAGAAACTTATTAATAAAACGTCATTCACCATTTTCCATTGATCAGTTGTAGACAGGTCTTCAATCACGTTGATGCACTCAAGTAAAACATAACATGTACCTCTTAGCAACCTATTTGAGAGATAATTAATTGCCGTCCAATAAGTCGTTAACATCCTGTCCCCCTGACACATTAGGAATTGAAGAAGTGAAGCAATCTTAGAACTGAGGATTATGTGGTCTCCAGCCTGAATCTCTAAATTGGTATCTGTGAATAGGAACTCATCTTACTTCCTTCAGGTTCAGGTAAAAAATCTCTAATGAGGCAGAGAAGGGTATTTTTCAAAACCCCTACACACTTAACCTTTAACAGGGGACACACTGGGTGGGCGGCAGCATTGTATTTACTTTTGTATCACACAACCATATTACAATGCTGCCGCCCAGCCTCTGTGTTCCCTATAAAGGGTTAATACGTGTGTACGGGTTTAGAAAAATACCCCTGTCTCACTAGAGATTTTTTACCTGAAGCCGAAGGAAGCAAGGTGATTTGTTAATGTAGGACCCATCTAAGAGGTTTTCCTTGACGTCGCAGGGGAGCTTACATTTAATGGCCATTGGAGTGGTACTAAAAACCTCCAGTTATTTAAATATGCATAGGGATTTGGGATAGTGTGCAAGTAAATTTTTTCTTTAATTTTTATTGTATGTAATGGGGCTAATGTGTACTATGGTCATTGCTGCCGCCCAGGAGTTGTGGCAGTCGGAGTGCAGGACTTAGCAGTGTTTAATCAAGTTGCATAATGACATGATCACAGGCAGCAACCATATAACATGATAGGGAGATAGCTATGTAGTAATTTTATTGGTCAGTTTGCTACCCTCCCACCGAAACCCTGATGGTAGAGTGCAAATGCTGAATAATATTGGATCTTGAATGCACATTATATTTCTTTATAGATGTGATCTAGTATATCTGTTTTTTACATTGACATTTATGCTTACATTTTCATAGTTGCCAACATCTGAAAAATATTTCCAGGGACACTTTGCAGCACAGCTACCAATTACTTACTTGAAAATGTACCACACCCACTGCCGCAAAGCTCCGCCCACTATATCCAACCCACATAATTAATCTCTGCCTAGTTATCATGCAGATTATAGGGTCTACTCAATAAAGAGAGAATTACAGGGAATTGAGATGGTAATTTTTTAACTTAAGGCCAAAGTAGCCAAGTTGGAAAAATTCTCCCATTCAGCAGCACTATTTGGCCTAAAGTTTGAAATTCCCATCTCAATTCCCTGCAGTTCTCTTTTAACTGATACAGTATACAGGTATACAGTAAGCACACAAGCTCACTAATACACAGGCTCAAAGACAGACAAGTTCACTGACACAAAACACAAATGCACTGATACACACAAATAGGCTCACTGACAGACAAAACTCTGACTCACACACAAGTTTACTACAGACAAACTTACTAGTATAGACACACAAGGCTCACTACAGACAAGCTCAGTCACACACACAAGCTTACTACAGACAAGCTCACTGACACACAAGCTGACTAAATACAAGCTTACTGACACACACATGCTCACTAAAGACAAGCTTTGTGACACACAAGCTCACTACAAACTGAATACAGTCACAAACTGCTGAACACATTCACACACAGACTGCTGAATACACGCACACAACGACTGCTGAATACACACACACCGACTACTGAGAACACACACACAGACTGCTGAGTACACACACCGACTGCTGAGTACACATAGACAAACTGCTAAGTATATGCATACAGACTGCTGAGTCCATACACACAGTAC